TTTTTTTTTTTTTTTTTTTTTTTTTTTTTTTTTTTTTTTTTTTTTTTTTTTTTTTTTTTTTTTTTTTTTTTTTTTTTTTTTTTTTTTTTTTTTTTTTTTTTTTTATCCTGGCTGTATTATCTTTCAATTTTTTTCTCTTGTCTTGGGTTGTTTGAATTTCATCTTGCACTTTTTGAATGTTTTTTCCTTCTTTATGGTGGGAGGGGAAAAATAGAAGAGGTAGAAGCTACATTTTCATTGCTTTTGGAGCTAAATCTAATGCCAGTTGTACCGACAATTTTCTTCTGTGTTTACATGCAGCCAGGAGCTATGGGCGGAGAAGAGGTAAAAGTATTTACTAAATGTTTTGTTTGCTGAATAGTGGGAGAATTAAATATTTATTTTTCTTACTATAAGATGTTACTGATTTTAACCTTCTGTTGATCAATTGCTTCATATAAACCAATCCCATCCCATGTTCTTCATTTGCAAAACAGCTCCCTTTTGTAGCATCTTAAAGCAGTGATGATTTTGAGCTGGTAATTTCAAGTGTGTTGCTGTTACTGTGAACTGGAGGATGACTGGATGTAAAGAGTCTTTCATGATATATATTTATGACTTGCAATGTGTAACATCAAAAAAAAAAAAAGGAGACTTCATTTATGTTTGGTGTTTGGTTTTTTTGTAGAAGTGCAATGTTTAACCACTGCATTGAACATTTCAAAATTGCCTTTTGTTTGAAACGGCTTTCACTGAATATTACACTTGATTATTACATTCAATTGCCTCAGGTAGAACATGTGTGAATACCAATACCAATAACTTTGCTCAACACCGAATGTTGATAACAGAGACAGTATTTGAGCACATTTTAGCTGTATTTCATCAGAGAAAACCCTTAAAAAATTAAAGCAAACTGAAAGCATTTTACAAATGTACAGTGCTGCATACCAGTTTATTCTGAGAGATTAATGAGCAAGGACAGTAGCAAGTTTGCTGACTACCAAGAAAGCTCTAATGCAGCTTACATTCCTGTACTGTGCTGTAGCTTACACAGACTGGTTTTATTGAGAAATAACAGTGAAAATTGCAGCTTTTAACAATCAGAGTTAGGCAGTGCCATCTGCTTGGGGTACTTTAGCATTAAACTTAATTTTATCTTCTTTTCTGTAATGTTCTCTGACAGCTATGTAGGTGACAGTGCTTCCTTTTCAAAGTGTAGAATTTGCATCACATTTGTGAGAAGCTGGAGACAGACAGAGCCCTCACACAGGCCAGTAGTGTCCAAAGGAACTTATCATTTGCACTGAGGATTCAGGCAGTAGACTGCAGAGGCTGTACTAACACAGTTGGTAATAAAGTCTTCAGGTGATTTTGTTCAAACTTGACTGGTTTTCTTGTTTTTTTTGATAGCTAAAACAAAACCAAAAGATTCCAGTTTTTCTCACAAACTTACCTTCTCATAATTCCCCACCTCCAGAGACTGGGCTACTGTTAATAGATGTCGAAGGCATCCTGATACTTTTTCAGGCCTCTCATGGTACTGAAAAAAATTGGGACGTATGTGGAGTATATAATCTTGTATACTCTCTATGCATGTGAACACTATTTGATTTCATTTTAAGATTGTGGAAAGTGTTTCCAGATTGATCAAGTGACACCAAAGTAGGAAAGGAGGTAGGAATCAGTAGGACACCACAAACTACTTGCAACTCACATTTATTTGTAGAAGCCAAATATAATAACGTGGCAGTAATTGTGATGAATGCAATGTAGGATGTTTTATGAAAATGGTAGTGATGACAAAACAGGGCAAACAAGTTCTGAATGTGCTGGACTGTCAGAAATTTTTTTTTCCGCTCTACCAGAAAGCATTCTTCACTCTACAAACTTGTTTCCTGTGTGAAATGCAGGCTTTTCTCTACTAACAAGTAGATTTGTGTGTGTATGTCTTGTCATTAACACTCATTCATGCAGTATTGAAGTCTGTGATGTTTATGCTTTATCATTACCTTGACTTTTATAATGTTGTTATTGAGCTTTCTTAACTTTTAGAAGCATAAAATTCTATGATAATCTGTTTAAAATGTTGTGTTGGTTATCAAATATTCCCATATATCCCTCTCTATTATTGTTTTCACCATTTGTATTGTGATAGTATGCAGAGTAATCAGAGACAAGTCTGTGCAGGGACTCATTTCATGTTTGTTATATTTGGGTATTTTAATTAGTGTTTGATTCTGTTTTGTGACTAAGCAAATTCAGCGAGAAGAGGTTTTGTCAGACATTTTTTGGGAACCTGCCATAAAATATCAGTTCTATACTTGACCCTCTGTTTTCTTTGAGTAAAGAGGAGAGCATTTCTTTGTAGGTGTTATGTTAGGGCTGTTGAGTCATGTTTATGGTACCTTGTTTTTAACGTTTACAACCAGTTTTTCAGGTACAGATGTAAGGATAGCTATGGGAAATCAGCCCAAACTGTTTTGCTACACTGACAACTTAGAGATGCCTGGGGAGGGGTACAGGAGTATATTAAAAAAATAGTGCAGGTAGTGATGCTTTCCCATAATGTTCTCACAGAAATTTGCCCCAGGGGGTTTCATGAGGTGATGTCTCAATATTTATTGCTTTAGAATGTGTTTTTCTCCTGTTCTTACTCGTTCCCTTTTCTGAGCCTACATAAACTTTTCAAGATCCCAAAAAGCCTCTGGCAAGGGGTTCCAGAGTTTGCCTTACTTCCAGCCTTGCCATGTACTGATTGTGTTCAATACACGTTACTTTTTCCCTTACTGGACAAGACAGTGAACAGTCGTTACTATTCCCTATGTTTTCCATAAATTTAACTCTATCCTTGACTTAAATATGAAGTTTTAGAACATCGTTTGCATTTTTATAAGGTGAGTACAGTGCTTGTAGACTGTCAAGCATCCAGCATAAGAGGTGATACCTTGATTTCTAAGCTGCTGTGAATTTTTATTATTCCCTTCAGAACTCAGCACAGCGTGACCTCTGCAAGCCTGTATTTTAGTTGAACACCTTGTTCTAGTGTTTATTAATTTGATATGTCACCTTCCACTAATGGATCATGGTTGTTTCATTTCACAAGAAGGTAGGTTGGTGGACAGGAATTAAAAGGTTATTTATCTCCTTAGTAATGTCAGTCTCTCACATATATTTTCAAATTTCCTTCCTTTCTATGGGTTTTTTGATTTGATATTTTTACGCAACTGTAGTATTCCTAATTTTTTTCCTCTCGTGCATGTGCTCTCTTTTATGTTGAAATGCATATGTTTATACATGTGCATGACCTGTTTGTCCATTAATGGAATATGCATCAGTAATCTTTCCTGTGTTATGCTCTAAACCCACCATTTCTGACAAGACTTTGAAGGGAAGTATCTAAATCCTCTGATTGTGGCATTTACCCTGTTTTTTACAGACCCATGACAATGTTGATGTGTAAAAGTACAGTAGGAATTTTGGTTCATTGGATTTTTGTGTCTGTGATCTCTGTCTATGTTTAATATTCAATATATTTTTTTCTAATTAAGACTTTTCTAGTGTGTGGTTCATAAAAAATTCAGGCTGGTGTTTTGTGTCAGTCAGAATATCTTTCCTGGTTTGTTTTTTTTACGTTGGTTTTCCATATGTAGGATTACTCCTTCTTTTTGTAATCTGTCCTTTAGTACTGGAGACTATTACTGGTATTTTCAGTGTATAAGTTTTTCTGACTAGAGTCCCTCTGTCTTGACTTTCTTCCTTACCCCTCTTTTTATTTCTGTACTTCCCTGTGCTGTTACTACCAGTGTGGTATTAATCCTTAGGTCTTGCTGGGAGTCAATTTTATGTGATCCATTACCTTTAAATTTAGTTATGTGCCCTGTTATTTATATTTGTAATCACCCCCCTAATAAACTGTTTGTATCTATTAATTATAATTCCATCCCTAGGAACAATCCTCCATGAAATGAGTGGACAATTAGCCTTTTCAGAGTTGAGGTGGGGTTCCCATCTCTTTATATTGCAGGACTTAATTTTCAGCTCAGGTATAGGGAATTATTAAATTCTGAAGTTGGCACGTTCTACAGTGTTGCTTATATGCAGAGTGAACTTTTTTATCTTCTCTGTTAATAAATCTGTTAAAATAATGTGTGTATGCCTTTGTAGAAGTAGCAACAAATTAAAGCCATCTGATGATCACAGATGAATTCTTTACTTTTGATTTACAAGCTGAGTAGCAGCCATTTATGTTGATTTTGCTCATTCATCACTGAAAGAATGTTTTAACACTGAGTAACAAACAGTCTGACAGGATGTTCCAGCTAACAACTTTTTTCTTTAAGTGCAAGTTCTTTGTGGTTTACTTAACAAGATTTTTTTCTTGTTAGCCAAGTTTCTTTTACGTGTTTAATATCCACAATCCAAAGTTTTTCCGTGTTTGTTTTGCTGTTTGTGCCCCTACTCAGTGTGGGCCTCTGTTCCCTTGAGGTGGATGTGCTCCAGCCCTTGTTGTTAGGACCCTGTAAAGCTCTCCAAAGTGTGCAGTGACTTGAGGGATCTGCTCTTGAGATCATTCCTGGAAGATCTGTTATGGGAGGTTTAAATCTCTTAAGAATTGGTTTGAAATGCAAATGTTGCAAAGGTTCTTTCTATAATGATGACACACAATTTTATCAGATAGCTTGTTGGTTTTGTTGCTAGCCTTTTGCAAGGGTTTGGTTTAAAGCTAAATTAGGTTTATTGTTTTGTAAGAGTAACACACCTTTGGAAAAATAGAAGCAATACTAATGAACATCATTTGGACACTTGACCACTTAGCTGGGCCCTTTAATGCAAATTTTGTTACAGTAAAAAAAGGAAGAGCTGACTTTTTTTTTCTAAAATATTTAATTCTTTGGGAAACAGTGTTAACTGTAGATGCTACAAAATCTGTTACAGGTCGGTCTTCACTCTTTCCTTTTGAAGATGGCTTCCTAGACGACAGTCATGGGGATCAGTCTTTATCGTCGGGTCTCAGCTCTCCAACGCGCTGTCAGAACGGTGAAAGAGTGGAACGCTATTCTAGAAAGGTGTTTGTTGGAGGTCTCCCTCCTGACATTGATGAAGGTACCGTGAATAAGTTACATTGGTGAGGTGTAGGAATTGGCTTTCATATAATTACTATAACAAAGGTCGGATTTTAATGAAAAACAAATGTATTTTCCCAGGTGTGTTGCTTTTAGTGTTTGTGACATTATTTAAAACAAACACACACTACCATCAACTGCAACACCTGCAAATTTACTTGACATGCATTTGTACTGTAGATCAGAAGAGAGGGAGAGAGAAATGGCTGCATAGCAGGTCTTTTAATCTGCAAGTCTTCCCACAGCTGTAAAGTGGGAAAGCTGTAAAAGGGAACTCAGTGGTTACTGTCTCTCCTCCGTAGTCTTTTCCTATTCTTGGATGTGGTTGACTTTAAGGACTTTGTTAATACAGTTCTTTCCAAAATACATTGGGCTTTAATTTAATTTATGTAGGGCTCAGATGACAAATGTAGGGCAATAATATGGTTACAAAATAGGAGCCAGCTTATTAGAGGTGGTTAGGGTTTTTCTCAATATCTGCTCCACTTGTGTGTGCCCCACAAACCTTTACTCCCAAACCAAAATCATGACAGTTTTCGGTGTATTTTTCATATTATATTATATCTGGAATCCACCACTATCCAGCTTCAATGGGCATACATAGGGATGCCTTATTATGAGAGAGGGATATCTGAATCTGATCTACTACACTGAAGTCCAAACCATGTACAGTTTTAGTAAAGAAATACTATGAGTTGCCAATCTATGATTTGCAAACAACTCAAATATGGTTCCTATGTCACATCATGAGTTGCAGGGCTGTTGATACAGGGTCTGCTGGGTAATCTGAATCTCCAGCTATGAGAAGAAGCGGGCCAACAGGTACAACTGATGTGAATATTGCTGGGTCACTCAGTCAAAATATATGCCCCGCCTGTCTTGTGAGGAAGTAACATGGCCACCTGGGAGCTGTCACCCTCTTTCATGAGAGCTCTCCTTCAGTAACCCTTTTTTTTTCAGCACCTCAGGTATACAATATGTGTTTTGTGTCTCTAGTTGCTTGAAAAATCCGGTGTGCAACTCACAAGGTCAGAGAAACTGGATGCATCTCAAACAGCAATCCAAAAATTGGAAATCCCGTTTTCTCCAGATGGCTTGTTGCTCTGATATATCTAGCATCACAATAGACATAATTTTAAACTAATTCTTTCTTTAAAGTAAATTTTAAAAGGCATAGAGAAAAAACAATATTTTTTTTTTTTTAAATTACTTTAAATACTTCTTTCTGGAGCATTTGCATGTAGAACAAAATTGTCGTTTTAGGGTAGTTCGTGATGTGTGTTCCATGGGGTTTCTAAATTGATGCTTAAAAAGCGAAGAAATAACTTGGCAATTCAAGGCCGATTTCCTGAGGGGACTGAGGAAGGTGAAATCCCCGCAGCCGATGCCCTGCTGCCGCCTGCTTTCTAGGGCAGGCCGGAGGAGCGGCTGTGCTGACACGGAGCTCCTCCGTCAGCCCCATGTGGCTGCATCTGACCCTGCTTTGTGGCTATAATTAGAAATAGACCGCAGCTGAAGCATATTCACTTCTGATAGATCATGTTTGCATTTAATCCTGCTGCAAACTTCCATTAGTAGAATGTAAAATTACTTTTTTAAGCAGCACAGAGATTAAAGAATATTTAGGCATCCTCTATGGACATTTTTTCAGTTTTCACTTCTTAATGAGTGTAGAAAACAGGAAGTTTTGTTTTGCTTTAAGTGAGACTGTTTGCCTTGCTGTGTCAGTCTTCACATTCTCTCTAAGGTGCCTCATTTGTTTTTTGTAGATGAGATCACTGCCAGCTTTCGTAGGTTTGGACCTCTTGTGGTGGACTGGCCTCACAAAGCTGAAAGCAAGTCGTATTTTCCACCTAAAGGTAATTAGTTTAAAATACATTTATGCAGGCTCTTTGGTAAGAGGAAATTATGTCTGCGTTGTAGCAATCCATTACAAAGCAAAGATTTGACTCTGTGATGAATTTGCTGTCTTTCAATAAGCATATTTTCAGCCACTGTCATGATGGAAAAAAAATCACAGTTTGGTTACTGAAATGTGCTCATCTGTGTGAACTTCTTCAGGAGCTCTCGAGTCCTTGGATTATGCAATAATTTATCCTAGGCAGAAGGCAAGTTGCAGAAATTTCCTAGTGCTGATTCTGTTGCAGTTTGCACGTTGCAGAACTCACAGGAGTAAAAGCTGGAAGTCACTGTGTGTGTTCTGACTCAAGGAGCTGTGATCCTGAGCGGAACCACAAGCTGTGTCAGGGCTCACTGGGCACTGAAGCACGAGCTCTGCTGAGAGAGAGCAGGCTGGGATCAGGCACCATGGACACCGGGATTTGAGGATGGAGCTGGTTTGGTTCAGGGTGGTTTAGAGTGTGTGCAGGGGGAGCAATCTCATATCTGTCAGCAAAACATAATGCAGACCTGGTTTGGTTGAGGGAGAACAGTTTATGGGAAACCCGCTTGGGAGAGTTACTTGGCTAAATCAAGCTGCTCTGGTTTTGTATTATACTGTATACATTCTACTCTCAATCACACATGCTTCTTGCATTTCGTTTGCGAGTTCACTCGTGATCTGAAACAGTAGCAGGAAGTTATACACAAAATTTCTTATGTACGTGCTAATATTTTCTGTTCTCACTAACCCTGAAAGCTGTTAATTGCTCATTAAAGCCACTGATTATTTTGTCAGAACAATAGCCCGTTTAGTCAGTGAACTAGCTAATCCTACAATATTTTGATATATAGATTTTGACTGTAAAAACACACAAATAAAAGCCAACTTAATTTATTTGGAAGCTTAATTGCTGGAGGCGAGATAACTCTGTGACAAATGCTTGCCCTGTAAACAGTATTTGGGACACTTAAAAACAGAACAGAAACCAATACATGCTTCCTCTTTCCTGTTCCATTCTCACCACTCAGCCTTGCTGTCAGTAGTTATTATGCAACATCTGTTCTTGAATTTAAACCCAAAACAAATAATCCCAAAACCATCAACGAAACACCCCAAACCTCAGTCTCCCCATCATGTATTCCTAAGGACAGTTGGTAAAATGTATGATTTTCCCTTTTTATGTTATTTTTAAAGGTCTTTAGGGTCTTTTTGGCTGGTGAATTCTGATTGTACTTTCACTTCTGAGTTAAAAAAAAAAATGTAACAAGGCCAGCTTCTCCTTGTCCTTAATATCTCTTAGTATGCTGCGCTTTTTTCCCCCCCTTTTATCCTTTTTTTGCTCTTAATAGTTCAATAAGCAACTACTCATGGTAGATCAACATGGGACTTCCAATTTTGATTTTTTTCTGTATCTGACTGTGGGCTAGTTATGCCCCGTCAAACTTGTAAAAATGTATTTGAGTAAGATCTATTTTAGCAGAAGACAAGGGAATGCGGCCTCACTTCTATTTTTGTCATGATTCTAATATAGGAAACAGCTTTCAAAGCCCCTGCCAGTCTGCCTGAAAGTGCTAAACAACAGTCAATCCCAACTGTTCCAGATTTATTTATAACTGACTTCTTAGTTATCAATCAGGGCTGCAGCATCAGAAGTCCTGCATTCCTGGCTGTGAGGTTCACTTACAGTCATGTTAAGCTCGGTAGGTCAAATGTGCTTGATTTACTGTGATCCCATAGAGGCAGCATCTGCATAGAAGACAGAATATTATTACCAGGAGTCAAAAGGTAAAGTTTGAATGTGTATTATAATTTTTTCACAGCTTTTTGGTCTCATTTTTTTTTAATAAAGAGTACTTATTTTTCAAAGTTATTATGGAATCATTGACTGAAGTTCCACAATAAAATGTCTCCACTGCTGTTTTTAATTCGAAGTTCCTTTAGACCTAACATTTAAGTATCTTTTTTTATTATTATTTTAAGCTGTATTGATGCATTATCAAACATTCCTTTAAAAATACAGTGAAATGAAAAGAGATATTTGAAATTATGCTTAGTGCAAGATTCAGTGACATGACTTATTCAGCTGTCAGGTACTCATGAATTCAAATGTTTTCTCACTTCATTTTTCTAGATGTCTTCTCTTCCATGTTGCATTGCTAATCTCTAAATACTCTGACATTTTGAATATGAGTCTTTCAAATGGAAAATATGTCCAAAAAAAAAGGATAAATGAAATTACAGAGGAGAAAATGAGTTGGGTTTTGTGTGCTAGCAATCTCAAAAGAAGACAGGAAAAATGGATTGTTGGAATGCAGTTGGGATGATGCAGAGGCTAATCTCTGTTCACACATTAATAAAGCCTGACCTTCAAGGCTTCTCCCACCCACCTGAATGTGTACCAGTGGCAGTAAAATTGAGCCCTTCTCTTTCTGAACGTATGCCGTCACCTCCAGCCAGACTTTAGTTTCCTTTTGATGGATAGCCTTTTCCACTGCTCCTCTGTGTATGCAGGGTCAGACCATTGGGCAATGTCTGGACTTACAACAAAGTTCAATTTTTTTTGTCTGTTTACTTTGGTAAGCGTTCACTTAGAGATTTGGAGCAGACAACATCAGAAGTTGATGCCACAGGTCAGCATAGTCAGTGAAGTTTTATGCTGGAGCTCTTTCACGTCATGGTTTTCTGTCTTCATCGAGGTGATGTAACATCGTCTACGGTCCTGAGCAAATCAGTACAAACTTCCACTATCTACTTACTGGTTTAATTTATTGAATTTTGGAATGTTTACTCTGTTGATGCAACATATGAATTCCCTGTAGTCACCCTGTATTAGGAGCACTCTGATATTCTTAGGGCTAGGAAGAAAAGGCTGCAGGGACCATTAGCCATGGCTAATCTGATCAGGCATGAAATCTAAAAGATTAAAATGTTGCTTACAGTCTAGTGACCTCCACCACCACCCACCAGCTCCCCCGAGGGCTTTATCTGGTTAGCTTAGTGAGCAAGTCAGGCCATAGATGTGTAGTCAGTTCCAGCAAGCCTTATTAGCTAATTTATTAGTTGGTATGGTTGATTAGCTTAGGTGCAGTGGCATGTAAGCTGTCATCAGAACTAGCTGGAGTCCAGAAACATTCCTGCTGCACTGAGCTTGAACAAAGAAGGTTTTCCTAGATTTGGCACGCTGGGCAGGATGGTGTCACCACAGGTCTGCTTAGGCACACTACCTCAGGTTTAGTGCTGGACCTGATGGACATAAATGTTTGTGTGTGAAATGTGCTGACCTGGATCTCCAGCATGGTGAGTTTCACAAGGCTTATTTCAGGGTAGTGTCAACAGCAGCATTTTGGACCTTGGGGGATGGCAGGTCAACACAAATGTGTCTGCAACATGCCTCTCAAGCACATCAGTGCTATCTGTATTATCCAGATTTTCCTGTTTTCCCAGCTGTTCTGTGTTTTTGTTACGCTTACAGAATCTTGCCTGGCGTCACGGAGTACACTGTGAGCGTGTGTTTGGGAGAGCAGTCTGGCTTTGTCAGCATTTGAGTTTTGGTCATTTTAATAGCAAAACCAAAATAATTTGATGGATCAAGCGCACCTTACAGGATGCATTGATTGCCAGCGAGTTCAATATTTAGGTTGCTGAGAGAAGAGGGACTGGTGGCACCCAGCTCTTTTGTCACTGGGAGACAAAAAAGTCCACTTGTGCTCTTGGACCAGAGAAGCTGGTAACAGCTGACAATGTGTGTAAGAGGTTCCTGTTTCTAATTCTGAGCATCTGTATTGTTGCCTTAACATTTCTTTTTACCCCTCCTATGCATTGTAAAGCTTAGCACCATGTTTTATGTTTGTGTCATGCATGAGGTGATTTTTTAATGCTTTGCCTCTGAATAAGACCAATTCATTCCCGTTGCCTGAGAAGTCTTTGGATTACTTCCTTTGGCATCTGTTTGGGTATGTTAGTAAAGGAACTGGCAAAATTATAAATGCCATGTGTTGGTCTTGGGTAAGCAGATGCCCAGTTCGTAATGTGTTTACTTGGCTCTCACCACAGAGTTTGGGAATTAAATGTGGTTTGTGGCTAAGTATTTTTTGAGTGCCTATGAGACGTTGAGAAATAAAGAAATATGCATTAAAGAATACTATCAGAAGTAGTTGCACATTACAGTGTCACAGTCTATTTATCCCTGGCAAAATCCAGATAATTCATGTTTTATTTAAATAGAAATTGGTAGGGTTTTCACCTACTTGCTGGTCTGCTGAGTTAAGCAACGCTTATGCTAACTACAGTAATTTTTTTCCTTTTTTTTATTAAACAGATGGTGCCAACTGTTTCAAAAACACTCTTTTAGGTTTGTTGGTTTTTTTTTAACAGATTGCTAGCTTTAGGACAACTTTTTAAAAACTCATTACTGCAAAAGTTTTCCTCTGTTTTTTTCCATTTAGAAAGACTAATGTTTGGATAAAGATGAGAATTAGAGTGAGAAAATGAAGCATGGCAGAGCTTGGAGATAGGATGGGTTTGGAATGGGAGGAATGCTTTGACTTTATAGTTGATTTAGATGTGGGATGCAGCAGTCTGATCTTTTATGTTTTCCCTGTTTTTCAGTTCGTTGCTCTGTTGTTTGATAAAATTAAGCACATTTGTTCCTATTGCTCCATATGGGACACTAAGGATAAGCAGGATGTCATGAAAAAGAAAATAGTGTAAGCAAAGTTGCACAAAGTAACATGAAGTGGTTCTCATGCTTTAATTTAAAACAACTGTTGGGGACAGACAGTGTGAGTCTGTCTGATTATCTCTAAGGTACTTTTTAGATGGGAACACTGTTGTTGCAGTCTTTTGTCCTTTGATCTTGATTTCATGGATGGGGACCATTTTCATGGTTAATTCCATTGCCACTGCAATGGCAATGGTAGTTTCTGCCAGAGGAACAAGAATGAAGGGTTACAATGAGAAAGTGTGGAGTCCTATTTCTAATTTCATCAGTCATATTTACAAGAAGGTTTCTGGTTTGTCCAAATAAAGCAATCTATTCTGCTAAGTGCTTTGGCTTAACTGATCAAATTCCATACCACCACAATCCAGAGTGAAATGCCCAGACAATTTTTGTGTTTTACAAACTGAAGTCTGAGATCATAATATTTGTTAGGATGGAAACTGTCATTCCTTATCCACTAGTGTATTTACTGTTATATAGTAAATTGGGATTCTGTGATGTTTTTTAGATGTTGTTTGTGTATGTTCCAACACACACGTGTGCAGTGTCAGTTGTTTACCCATTGACATCTGTGGCCACGTGTGCGATTTGTGTAATATGTAACCCTGTATCTTCCCACAGCAGGGCAGCATCATCCAAAATCAGTGCAGTTCACAAAACGTGTGGTAACAAACTGTGGTTCAAACTGATCTGCTCTTTTGTAGCTGTGTGACTTAAGGTTGGTTTTGCAGAGAATTTTCTTTGAGGTTTTGGATGACTTTTGTTTAAACCACACTTTGTAAAGCTCTTCACTTTGTTTCCTGTCTTGTCCTGAATGTTTGAGGATTCTTGGTGGTGTGCTGATAATGATTGTTAAATGTCTGTCTTTGAGGCTGCTTTGCCAGTTACTGGAGTATTCAAGGATCTTGCTTCATGTAAGAGAATTTCTGTCTCTAAAATGATGCCATTTGCAATTTCTTTTTCTAGGGGTAAAGGAGAACCTGGTGAGGTAAAATACAAAACTATTTCTGAGCCATCCAGGCCTAGGCAGAAAAAACCTGATCCTAAAGTAGTGTTGCAGGATTATTGTCTTCCAGCTTTTATGTTGCTTTCAACAAACGCTGTTTACTTTCAGAATTGCTGGGTTGCTATAGAAATTTTTTTTATCCCTGAAGAAACCACAATTTTTAGCAAGCATTTATTAACCCTTTTTCAACAATTTGAACATATCTAAGTACAGGAAAAGCTTTCCCTTGCTTATCTGTAGAAGTAACCAGGCCACTTTTGTCAAATGGAACTAGTTAAATATTTGTCTTATTCTCATTAACCACTTCTAAAGCTAAGTAGATTTTACCATGGATTGCACACCCACCCCAAATAATATTTTTATTAAATGTCACCTTTTGTTTTGCAAACGGAAATACATGAACTGAATTGTAAATATTATGGGCTCCAGGAGAAAAGCCGTCCTTTAGTGGTATTGACTACTTAATATCTTGTGCTTTGGTAGTAGCTTGTGATATGTCTTGTTTTGCTAATAATTTATGAAGCACCAAATTATTCTTTCAAATCACTGAAATATGTTCAAGAGGTTGTTGGGGGTGATGGTGAAGAGGCAGATTCTGTACTAGCACTGCAGCTTATTTGCTGTGCCTGATGGTCATCCAGAAAGTGAGCTACTCCAGCCTGCCTGATCAGTTGTAATAATTCAATGCATTAGAAGCTTGTGCTCTCTTTGTAAATTCCTGCAGGCATTGTATTTATAATATTATGTATTCGCTTCCTAGGATCCCTCCAATGATGCACACAATTCTACCCCTAAACTAATGACCCTGTAACCTAAGATTAGTGCAAGATCATCAGAATACATACGTCATAAATTTATCAAAGATAATATCCCAAATTATACTTGCATTCTTTCAAATCAGAGGTTAGGACTGGCAATGGGAATATTCTGTCAGGTGCTGATATGCTGTGGGTGCCTCTGCCCAGGGCAGTGTACCTGCCTCTCTTTGATCTCAAAAGCTTGGAGCAGCTCAGAGCTGGT